CCCCCGCGCGCACGGCCTGGCCGTGGCACTCCAGGTGCCCGCAGGGCCAGCGGGGCGCGGGGCTGGCGCGCAGCACGAGGGACAGGGCGGTGATGCGGTGGATGGCTCTGCGCAGCGTAGCGATCTTGGAGAGTCTCTTTCCTCCCAGGTCGTGCCGCAGCGCCCGGCGCAGCGCGTTGAAGGCCTCGTTGTAGTCCAGGATGCGCTTGCGCTCACGCACGTTGGCTGCCATGCGCCTCGCCTTGGACCGCACCGGCCGGCTGCGCTTTCTGCTGCCCGCCACCTCCTCTGCTTCGCCCAGGCCGCGAGGGCCGCCGTTCTCCCTCAGCACCCCAAAATCTCTCCCAGCCTCAAGGCAAGTGTCCCCCACGTCCCTGGCAGCGCCCTCGGCCCCCTTCAGGCCCCTGAGGCCTGGTCCTGACGCGCCTCGTTGCATGGCCTTTTCCGGGGGTTTGCTGCTCCGGCTGGCAAGGCTGACAGTCCACCTTCCGAGCGTTGGCTCCTACAGTCTGGACGCTCCTGGGACAGGCCCTCTATAGCCTGGCTTTATGGCACCACGTGGCTCTCCGCCCTCCCCATCCATCCATCTCCCTCCTCCTGCTTTATTACCTGCCTCCAGGTAGGTTGGTGAGGGAGGAACCCAGAGGAATAAAGCAAGGGAGGAAGCATGCAGATTCTTGTAGGAAGGGACCGGACAGGCAGCCTGGCCACACCTGGGGCAGTGGTCCAGTAGCCAGGGAGAGTTTGCCCTGCTTCACTCCAGGGCCTCTCTGGGGTGGCTGGGTTCCACATTCTTCCTCCTGACCCCAAACAGAGTGCCAAATTTGGCCTCCAGGCAGGAGAGCTGATAGGTGCACAGAAGAGCCCCAACGGCTGTGTTTACAGAACCTTGAAAGTTTTTGTCAAGTTCTGTGGGCAACCACAGAGCCATCACAGAGGAAAGCATGGTTCCAGCAGGACAATAAGAGAGGGGGCAGATCAGATACTCCGGGGTCCTGCAGGTAAGACAACCTGGAGCTTCTAGCTTTCTCAGCTACCAGAGTGAGACTGGCTGGGACTCTGGGTTTGGGTTTTGACTGGGCTTTACTCACCCCCTACCTCCCTTTAGCTCCCCTCTTCTGCAGGCAGAGCTGGGCTGAGTCGGCAGCACAGGGTGATGGAGAATGTTTTGTGGCCTTCTAGCTCCCAGTGTGGTACCCATCAGGGGCATCTTTTGGAGTCCAGGGTCCTTGAGCAGCCCTGTCTCATGACACAGCACTGCCATATTGTGAACCCACTCACCACCCCCCACCCCAGGGATTTTAATTTTAAACAGGGTCTCAGAAAAAGAATAGTGCTGAGTCCTAGAGAAAGACTCCCAGTGGAATTTCAGGTATCTACAAGTCAGTTAGTTGGAGCACCAAGGTCAATCTCATTTCTAGCCACGATCCAAATGCCTCCAAAATGCCTCCAAAATGCAAAGCCTGTGTTATCAGCTGGGATGAGGGTAGAGTTCACATCCATCTCACAAAAGAGCAGACCAATAATCCCATTCATTCAAAATATGAGTTGCTCCATGGAGAAAAAGAGAAGGGCTGTTCTTTTGTTTTACTGTCTGTCTTGCCCACTAGACCATACACACCCTAAGGACATTGTATTTCCGGGGCTCCATTCCCCAAATCAGCAGTGTCTGTGAAATTAAAAAATGAATTAAAGCACCTAGAATCAGATTATTTTCTCCTCTCTACTCATTTGTTTCCCACTGTCCCCAACACACACACACACACACACAAAATCACACAGAATTGCAGACCTCAAGCAGGATTCCGAGCATGGGCCTCAGACGTCTGAGCACGCATGGCTGCATCCAAGATGTCAGTCTCACTGGGTCTCAGAGTGCGAGGCAGGGAATCAGGTCAAAGCCCCTATGCTATGGTTCCTGAGTGTCACATTTTACAACCACCTCTGTTCCCACCCCATGCCATGCCCATTAGCCCCTCAAGGCCATTCTAGAGAGAGTTGAGTCACTGTCCTGCTTATCTGTCCTGCCGAGCCTCCCAGAAAAGCCTGGCCTCTGGGCTCAAAGATGGGAGACCAGAAGGCAGTAGATGGACCTTCCAGTCCCACAAGAGCCAGGTGGGAGAGGTGATTTGGTGGGTAGGAGCTCATCCTTTCCCCAGCCACCCCACCCAGTGCCCCTTCCAAAACTTCAAGGGCACCACTGGACATGTGAGTGCATCCAGGGAATTCCAGGGAGTCAGGAGACCTGGTTCTAGTTCTGTCCCCAAATTACTACATGACCTTGTTCCAGTCCTGCCCATCCTCTCTGCACCCAAGCTTATTTTTTTCCTTTGCAGGGAAGACATCCCCTCTACAAAAGAGGATAGGCAGAACCAGCTACATAATTTGCAGAGCTCGGTGCAAGATGAAAATATGGGGGCCCTTTGTTCAAAATTGTTAAAAAATTGAAGACAGAGACAGCAGAGCATGAAACCAAGCTTGAGACCTTCCAAGCCTGGGGCCTGTGCTGCTGCGCAGGCCCCACGCCCGAGAAGTGGGCCCTGAGTGGAGGTAGGGCAGTGTGGTGGAGATGAGTGCAAGTTCTGGATCTAAACTCATCTGATATTTGCCACTTACATAAAGACCTGGGGGAAAGCTCTGGATCTTAGTTCTCTACCTGTAAAATGGGAGTGGTGCCAGCCTCAGAGGACTCAATGAAAGGAACCTGGTAAAGGATAGGCCTTAAATATTGCAACTGGTTATCTCAAGGATAACCTCTACCTGAGTGTGACCATTATCAGGCTTTCCCTCCCCTGTGGTCTTCCTGGGAGTCCATAACCCACAATCAGGAGGAAATAGATGGGCACACCCAGAACTTCCCCTATGTCCATGGAAGGATGGAGGTGACCTGTCCAAGGAGGCCTCCCCTTCCCACTGATCCCCAGGGCAGCCTCACAGAGGGAAGAGTCTGCCTGGGGCAGTGCAGGAGCTGAGGGGAGGGTCCCAGATGGGTGATAAGCTTAAACTGCTTCCCACGCCTTTCCTTCCTCCAGTGAGAACTCAACAGTCCACCAAGGGCACATGGGCTCAATGTGGTATATTAAGAATTAGTAATAATGGTAATAGTAATAATAACACTAATCATCTTAATAATATTGGTATTGACTTCTACTGAGTGTTCATTATAGACAAGGCCTGGTGCTTTTTTTTTTTTAACATATGTTGTCTTAGCCTCACAGCAATCCTATACGGCCGGCCCTATTATAATACCCATTTTATAGGCTGAAAACTGAGACTCCGACAGAATTAAGTAATTTGCCCCAAGTCAGAAGGCTGAGCTGTTGCTGAATTGGGATTTCAAATCAGGCGGGCTGGCTCCTACATAAAGACCAAGCTCTTAAGCCCTCTGGGCTGAGCCTGCATTGTGGGTTTGGTGAGCACTTCCCCACCCCCAACACCAACAGACCCCCCCCCCACTGACCACCTGTAGGTAATAGAGGCCTTGCATCTGCGCTCTGAAACAACAGTCATTAAGATAATCAAATAGTTTGAACCAAGTGTGAAAAATAGAAAAAGAGCTTGGCTGATACAGAAGAAACTGGGGATGAAGAGAGACAAGCAGGGAAAAATACAGAAATGGGCTGGGAGCTAGGAGAACTCCGGAGCAGCCTAACTGCCTGCCTCCTGGGACTGAGATTTGCTGCCTGGGGTCTCTTTGGCTAATTCTTTTTTTAGGGGGGTGGGTGTAGGTAATTAGGTTTATTTATTTATTTAATGGAGGTACTGGGAATTGAATCCAGGACTTTGTGCATGCTAAGCATGTGCTCTACCACTGAGCTATCCCCTCCCCCTCCTTGGCTAATTCTAAGCTCTGTACCCAGCTGAACCGATGGCTGCCCAGGGGGAGCACCAGAGAGCTGAAGTGACAGACCAATGCCACCTGTCACCCGACTGCAGGTAAGCCAGGGCCCGGTGAGCCAGGAGTAGCCCGAGGGGAGTCAGGATCCGCATGCAGCTCCCAGCCTGCATGAGTTGGGAAGGTGTGAGGCCTCCACCGGCCTGAGTTCTGGATTGAGTTTACTGACCTGCAGTAGGTCACCAGCCTCAGCTGCTTGCTAACCTTTGCTGCTCTGTGAAGCCAGCCCTGAGCCCTTCCCTGCGGGCTCCCCTTCTGTGCTTAACCCCATCTTAGAATTTAGCAGATCATATTGTACCCTTATGTTCATGCTGGGACCATATCTAGGTCGCTTCTGTATTCCCAGTTCCTAGCACAATGCCTGGTACATAGGTACAAGGAAATGTTTGCTGAATGTTGTGTAAATGGTGCCATCCCTGATATTAACATACTCATGAAACTTCGGACATTCCACACGGGTCTGATCAAACAAGCTCTATATTCAAACCCAGTAAACATTAATAGCACAGCTACTAAATACCAGGCCCAGTACTATAGGCTGTCACATGTGCTGACAGCCACAAACAAAGGCCTACTGTACAGCATAGGGAACTATATTCAGTATCTTGCAATAACCTATAATGAAAAGGAATACAAAATATAATACATATATGTATAATTGAATCACTATGCTGTACACCAGAAAGTAGCACAACACTGAAAATCAAATATGCTTCAGTAATAAGTAAATAAATAAATAAAAATAAAAACCATAAAATGGAAGGAAGTAAACCTTGCAGCCAAACAGGAGTGCCTTAGAATTCCCCACCCACCCCAGTCACCTGTGGGGAATTTGATAGCTGTCAAAGCTGTATTCTTAACTGTGGTGCCGTGGTGGGGCAGCATCTTAAAACTTCAATCCCACCCCAGATCTACTGCATTCAAAGTTCTGTCTTAATTGCAAAGTGGTTCAAATGCTCAGAAAGACATATTTGTTCTTCCAAAATCTAGCCCTGTGATTATTAAATTTTACTTTGCTTAAGAATGACTGTTCAGGGTTATACACATAATGCCTTGTTTAAGGATAATTTAAGTCTTACACAAAGATGATTTTGAGTACACACAATTTTCTTGTTGCTCATTAATTTCAGAACATCCCCACCCACACTTTGGATGGAGGAAAAAACTTCATGGCAATAGACAACTCTGGGGCTCAAATGGAACAAAAATAGTCGTAGAAAATCAGCAAGGAAAAAACCCACAGATTTCTCTGCTGGCCCCCCAACCATGAACTCTCAAATCGATAGGAAAAGGGGGTTAGGAAAAGCAAAGAAAATGTCCCGACGGCACAGGTTTCCCGATGCTGGGAGCAGGCCTACTCCCATCCCTTCCCTAAAATAGTTCTGGCTTTTCCTTCCCGTGTTTCGTATTTTTCCAGGCCGGCTCCCTCGCCTTTCCCTGCGCAAGTCCGGAAATGACCCTCTGCTCCAAATTAATAATTCTGAGGCCACACTCTCTTGACAGATGGCCGAGGCTCCCCGAAGGAAGCGCCCCCGCCCTACTCGGCCCTCTTCCCACGAGTCCCG